TTTATTTTATTTTATTTTATTTTATTTTATTTTATTTTATTTTATTTATTTTATGTATATGAACACTGTTTTCATGCACAGCAGAAGAGGGAATCAGATTCCATTACAGATTGTTAAAAGCCACCATGTGGTTGCTGGGAATTGAACTCAGGTCCTCTGGAAGAGCAGCCAGTGCTCTTAACCTCTGAGCCATCTCAACAGCCCCCATTTGTTTGTTTTAATTGAGATGAGTGTTCATGTGTACCAGACTTGCCTCAGACTTCCTATGTAGGCCAAGATGACCTTGAAGTTCTGATCCTCCAGCCTCCACTTACCAAGGACTGACAACAGTAATGCCATGCCAGTACTCAATGGGCTTGGTGGGTCTGGGATTTGAACCCAGGTCCTGTTGTATCTAAATCATACATCTAAACCACCTGTTTCTCTGCCCTTCTCTTAACCGCTGAGCCATCCCTCCAACTCTTCTCTGCCCTTCTCTAAAACTCTAGCTGTCCTGGAACTCACTCTGTAGACCAGGCTGGCCTCAAACTCGGAGATCCACCTGCCTCTGCCCCCCAAGTGCTGAGATTAAAGGTGTGTGCCACCACCACCCAGCTCATATCTTTATAAAATTATTTCATTTTTTTATTTTATAATGTATGTAAGTGTTTTATCTATATGTATGTAAGTGTATCACACTCGTGTCTGCTGCCCATGGAGTCCAGAAGAGGGCATCAGATCCCATGCAACTGGAGTTACAGGTGCTGGGAGCTAAACCCAGGTCCTCTGTAAACAGAGGAAGTGGTCATAACTGTAGAGCCGTCTCTCTAGCCCCCTGCTGACATCTTTGAAAGTCTTTTTCTCTTACAGTCTCTTCCAATCATGCATATCATTGGCGTGTTTGGTGTCAGAGATCATGAAATGTCTGAGATGCTGCCCTGCTTGTGGTATAAGCTGACAAGGTCCTAGAGCCCTGAATACTAGTAGAACACACAGCATCCTGGGTCACAGACAAGGGACTCATGACTTCCAGCTAATTGTCATACTCTTTCACTGGTTTGCTGTGCTCCAGCATACTGTGTTCAGTATGATGTAGGATAGAGGAGCCCTGAGCTCAGAGAACCAGAACCTTCCCTGCAGGAGAATGCTGTCTTGTAACCTAAGACTCACAAGTAAGATTGTTCCTCTGCATGCAAGAGGCACAGAAAAGCAAGAGACCACGGAGTATTGTCTCCAGAATTTGGCTAAAAATAGTTTCCTTAAATTTAACTTTAAGTTTATTTTTGTACTGCATAAATTGATGCCAAAATTATCAAACTTGGAAGGAGCAGCACATTTTAAGCCAAGTGGCCTAACAGTTTCACAGTGCTTGGATCGGTGTCTCCCTGGGGCCTCCCCAGTGCACTGTGGATTCCAGGCATCTAACCCATAGGCCTGTCTGCAGTTATAGGGACATATCCAGTTTCTTCTCAAGTCAGTGGTCCAATAACTGGAGGTTCTGGTTTTTGTTTGTTTGTTGTTCTTATTTGTGGATGGGTGCTCTCACACAGTAGCTCGGGCTGACCTTGTAGCAACAATCCTCCTGCCTCAGCCTCCCAAGCACTGGAATTACAGGTTTGTACTATCATGCCCAGCTTCTACAGCTGAGTTGTGAGCATGCTCACTATGAAGATGCACAGGGCCCTTTGTCTAAATGCTGCCATATGTTGTTCCTGCTGGAACCCTTTGGAAAGAAGCTTATGATGCCAGCTTTACTTGTAATGGGCCCTGAGCCCAAAGAAGGGATGTGAGTTGCCCGAAATCACAGAGAATGGTGACAGGTGAACCTTAGATTTTGTTACAGTCCATTATCTACCTAAAAGGTCACTAGGCTGAGGTTCCCCCACCAAGCCTAGGTATGTCCCTTAGGTATGACAGACACAATGTCTTGCCACAGGGTCTGGTCTTGGCCTGAGAGATGGAGTTACCCCACCAGGTAGGATACTGAAGAGGCAGAAGTGCAAGGGTTTCTCTTACTCAGTTGGCTTTGCTGCCCTCAGTGGGAGGTTCTGTGTAAACATTCCAGGGAGGGAATTAAGAGGACCCCCGGGGTACAGAACTTGCCTTGCAGCCTACCTTTCTATCCCATGCTTATAACTCCAACTGTGATCTGGCCTAGACTGCATAGCTGTGTAGGAGAAGGTAGTACCCCATTTCTTGGCTAGACTGGCCAAGAGAAATGTCTCTTACCACTTCCTTCCTTTTCTTTTTGGACATGAGTCAGCTATAGCCCCATCCTTGAGGAGTGGCCAGACTGAGGACACAGCTGCTGACCCAAACAATGGCAATGTGCTCTGTACTGGGCCAGGAATTGTGCTAGGGATTATGGGAGCCCCAAAGAGGGAATAGCATTGGGCCTGGGCCTAAGGGATGCATAGGATTCCCTCAGACAGAGAACATTCTGAATACAGGTTGGTGAAATGCTGTGACAGAGGATGCTTTCCTGCCCTCACTCTCTCCCAGTTTAGCCCATGGCTACCTGTCATTTCCTCATATTCATGGCTTCTGATATTACAAAACAAACAAACAAAAACACACAGCTATCTATTGGGCTAGAGAGATGGCTCAGCAGTTAAGACCTCTTTGCTCCACCTTCAGAGGACCAGAGCTTGGTCCTAAACATTCATGTTGGACAGCTTACTGCCTGTAATTCCAGCTCCTGGGCATCTGACACCCTCCTCTGGTTTCTGAGTGCACCTGGCCTCATGTAAACACACACCATTAAAAAGTAAAATAATTCTTTACAAAAGATAGTTGACATTTTTAAAAGTCTGTCAAGGCCAGGGTTAGTGTCACAAGGCTTTAATCCCAGAAGTGGGGAGGCAGAGGCAGGTGGACCTTTGTAAGTTCAAGGCCGGCCTGGTCTACATAGTGAGTTCCAGGACAGCCAGAGCTACATAGTGAGACCCTGTCCTGAAACAAACAAACAAATAAGCAAATCTCTCAAGGACTAATACTTTGTGGAATACTCTAGAAATGGATTTTAGAAAAATTAATCTGGGATTATAGCTCAGTGGTAGAATGATTGCTTACTATCCATAAGTCCCATCCTCAGTGCAGAGAAAAGAGAAAGAGAGGAGGAAAGGGAGGGACAAGAACAGGAAGGGGCCTGGGAGAGGTGACTTGATATGGAAAGTGTTTGCTATGTAAGCATGAGGACCTGAGTTTGAGTCCCCAGCACCATATAAAAGGCAGGCATGGAGGCACACACTTGTAACCCAGTGCTGGCTGGAACAGAGACAGGAGAATCCTGTAGCTTGGTGGTCAAAATGGTGACTTCCAGGTTCCCTATCCCAGGAGATAAGATGAAGAGTGATAGAGGGAGAGACCCAACATTGACCTCTGACCTCCACAAGTGAGCTTGCCTACACCTGTAGGGAAGGGAGAGGAAGGAAAGAAAGAAGGAAGAGAAAGCAGGAATGACAAATTTAAGCCCAATGTTTTATGAGAGTCAACACATATAAGATTGCTCTGCCAAGGGACTATTAAACATCATGAAATCCCAAAACCTTTTCTCCCATTCTGCGCTGATTTTGCCATACGCATGACATGCAGTTTGCTCCCATGCCACTCACAGAGAAGAAGCAATAGCTGCACAGCCACAGCTCACCCTAGCACAGGCTACACATCTGCTCAGAACGTCCTGTCCCGACAGCTCTGCCAGCCTATGTTCCTCCTCTAGAGCTCAGCTCAAACAATACTCTTCCACTGGGGCTAGAGAGATGGCTTCTTGCTTAAGAGCACTGGCTGTTCTTGCAAAGGACAAGAGTTTGATTCCCAGCACCCACATGGTAGTTCACAACCAATTGTAATTCTAATTCCAGGGGATCCAATACCCTCTTCTGGCCTCCACAGCATCCACGTGGTGTAGCCAAAATGCCCATACACATAAAATAAAAAAATCTAAACAAGGAAAAGTTAAAAAGCCCATACTTTGGGTTGAGTGATTGATTCAAGCAAGCAGAGCTTTCAGCCAGTGTTTCATGACCAAGGAGTCTGCTATAAAAGCATTCCCCAGACACTATATAACAGTACATAGAGCAGGGCCCTGAGGGGAGACCTTCCAGGTAAGGATATGGCCCCAAGCCAAAGGACAGCTTCAACCTGGCACCTTGCAGATGCTCACAACTAGCTGGGTGGTAGTAGAACACACCTTTAATCCTAGCACTCAGGAGGCAGAGGCAGGCAGATCTCTGAGTTCAAGGCCAGCCTAGTATATATAGAGAGAGAGTTTCAGGACAGCGAAGGAGGGCTACACAAAGAGAAACCTGTCTCAAAAAACAAACAAACAAGAAGAAGAAAAAAAGGTGTACAGATGCTCACAACTATTAGTCATACCTCAAGGGCTGCCGCTAGGGGACATACAGACTGTGTGTTTAGAGTTTAGCCACTTTATCACTCAAAAGAGAAGCAGGCACAGAGAGGATGATTTCGGGGTACAAAGTGTAGATCAGAGGAAGAGTGCCCCACATTCCATCATACAGAAGGGTGATGTGGGAGATAACAATTTCTCCCACAATGTCTATTTCAAAAATATTTTATCACAGAGGAATTTGAATGGTTCCATCACAAAGAAACTGGATATATTATATTATATTATATTATATTATATTATATTATATTATATTATTCATATATATATATATATATATATATATATATATATATATATATATATCACCCACATATACCCCCCTGCTAAGATGCAACCCTAATGGAGTATATATCTAATGTGTAGGAGGCCTTGAGAGTCTTCCCCAGCACTTCATAAAAGAAAACACAAATAGGCATCAATAAAATAAAAATCTAATGTACTATACCTGCCCTGTGATTATGAGTAGCTGGAGTCCATGGGACCACTGTGAGGCTCTGGGATTCTGAGGTTTCTTGCTGCAGTGGAGCTCCTTTCGTGCCCTTTGGCTGGTATGTTCATATCCTTTCTTAACCATCTGTCTCCCTACCCCACCCACCACCTCTAGCTGCAATCTATGGTGGATCTTCTGGAGGGTGCCCTGTACAGCATGGATCTGATGAAAGTACATGCCTACATCCACAAGCTGACCTCCCAGATGAACACGCTGGAGGAGGTAAGGGCAGGGCCATACCAGGGGCCCAGGGCTACATCCAAAGGGACCTGGGCCATTCTGTTCCACCATGGTGGCTACAGGAAGCAGAACTCCAGCATGGAGCTGGGAAGGGAGCTATAGGCTGCAGTCCTGCCTTTGGGGAAGAGACCTGGGGGGGGGTGCGTTTCAAGGACCCGAGGAAGCTGAAAGTCAGATGAACAAACTGAGGTACTCTTTAGTAGTAGAAAGGAGTGTTGAGGGGTGCTGCATCAGGGTCCACACTGCACATGCAGGGTACCATTCAGAATGTAGCAGGACTGATCCAACCTCCAGGGGTTGACAATCCCAGCAGTACCTTTGTTGGAAGCAAAGGCCCAGGTACAGACTAGACAGGCTGTGTGTGCTACAGGACTGCCCTCTCAGCACAAGAACAGTTGGACAAGCCTAGAGGTCCAGACTGAAGGTTCAAGGCTTGCCTCTCTCCGGGCATGGCATGGCCTCCACCCATTTCCTGCATCCGGCCTCTGCTGAGCACCAGGGGTCTGGGGACATGCAGCTGCCAGGACCAGGCGTGGGGACTTCCTTTCTCAGCTTCCTTTCCAGAGGGAGGCAGTAACTGGGCATCCTGTGTCACAGGAGGGAAGACCAACCCCTGACTAAACCCATAGCTGAAGGTCACAGTGACAGAGAGATGTGAAACCTGTTGGCTGTCTGATCCCAGGCCAGCTTGGGATGCTGACCTGAGAATCTTTTGGGGGACCCAGTATTACCTATATATGCCTGGCTCTCACACTGCTGGCTCTCCTCTGACCTTTCCTCTTGTTACCTCAGGGAATGCAAACCAGTTCACCACAGCTCTGAGTCTGCTGATTGTCTCTTTAACAAATTTGGTTTGAGTGCTGGGATCACAGCCAAGCACTACCACACCCAGCTCTGAAAAAAGTGATAGTAAATTAACAGGTTATTAGAAATTTTTCAGGGGGCACCTGCAGAGATTGCCTAATTAAATTATGGCCTAAGCATACAGTGGCATACTATCTATGCATTCATAGTAGGAAATGCTTTGTAGACTAATATGGAATTATTCCCAAAATAGGCTGTTAAGTGAAATCTAAGTGTTAAAAAATATGTGAATATATGTTTGCCCCTATCATAAAAACACGTAACATTGTTATCACTGAGAAATAAACAAGCATGAGAGGGCCTTTTGTTTGCTTGTTTGCTTGTTTGTTTTTTGTTTTTTGTTTTTTTGTGTTTTTTTTTTTTTTGTTTTTTGTAGAGGGTCTCACTATGTGGCCCTGGCTGTCCTTCAATTCCCTATCTAGACCAGGCTGGCCTCATACTCAAAGAGAGCCACCTACCTTTGCCTCCCTAGTTCTGGGATTAAAGGCATGTGCCACTATACTTGGCCTGCTCACATCTTTTTCGTTTATTAATATAAGCATGCATTACCTATTTTTCATTCATTTTTCTCTTAAGAATAAAAATCATTAACTACAGGGTCTTATAGGACATGCCTTGTTCCACCCTATTTATGAGTGCTACTCACGTCTATGCCCCTGAATTCTTGATGGTCAAGTTGGGGTGCAGCTCAGAAGAAACGGCCAGGAATGACCATGAATCCTGCCCCACAGAGCATCAAGGCCAACCTGAGCCGGGAGAATGAGGTGGTGAAAGACAGTGTGCGTCACCTCAGCGAGCAACTGAAGAGCTATGAGAACCAGTCAGCCATCATGATGAGCATCAAGAAGGAACTGTCCAGCCTGGGCCTCCAGCTGTTGCAGAGGGACGCGGCTGTTGTCCCTGACACCGCCCCAGCCTCAGTCCCTGACAGCAAAGCTCAGGTGAGGCCTAGCTCTGATCACAGGGACAGAAGGTGACTGGGCTTGGGACACGGGGTTGGATGTGTTTGGAGCCTTAAGAGAGGACTATCAGAAAGCAGGAGAGTCCATGATGTGCAGGACAAGGGCTAGGAAGTGTCTGTTTCCACTTTGTGGCTACCACAGGTAAGCTGGCACAGACTTGCATATTTAGTCCATAGGGATGGCTAGACCCTGCCTAAACTCAGTATTTTTTTATTCTCATACCCAGTTCCCAAAGAACTGGAAATGAGGTTTCAGACTCTCCCTTTCTGGCCCTAGAAGAGCAAGCCAGCTTTCCTTTAGTACTGCTTCTAGCATCTCCTGCTGTGGCTGGGCCTGGGTGGGTGCAGGGTAAGTTTGCAATACTTCAGGGATCCTTGAAGACTAATATCATGTCACCCACAGCAGAGAGCATGTCTGCACAGACTTAAGAGTTCCTTGTTTTAGTAGATTCTTTTGCTCTGGTAGATCCCCTTGTTCTAGTAGATCCCCTTGTCATAGTTTCAGAAATATTACTGTGATAAAGACCATGGCCAAAAGCAATGTGGGGATGAAAGGCTTTATTTCACCTTACAGCCCTCAGGTCACACTCCATCACTGAGGAAAGCCAGGGCAGGAACTGAAGCAGAGGCCATGGAGGAACACTGCTTACCGGCCTCTTCAACCTACTTTCCTATATAACCCCAGACTACTTGGCTAGTGGTAGCACCACCCACAGTGGGCTGATCCCCATCAAATCCATCATTAATACATAAGATGCCCCCACCAACTTGCTTACAGGCCAGTCTGGTGGAGGCATTTTCTCCCTAGCTTGTGTCAAGTTAACAAAATAATAGCCAGCACACTCCTGTAGGCAGACACACTGACCCTCCCACCTTCTAGATAAGTCAGGAAGTAAGCACCAGTGGGTGAACACCTCATATACTGGTTCCTTCCTCTGGTGGCACTCAGAGCCTGCCACTTGGCAGGGAGTACAGCAGACAGTCACCCTTTTGGTGCCACTCAGATCAGTCATCTATGGGCAGGATGCAACCCAGTAAACCTCATTTCTGGTGATATTTGTAGGAGTCATCTGAACCTGATTTCCTCACATACAACATTAGTTCACAACCTGTAAGTAGAATTGACCCCTGCCTACTTGGCACATGAAGAAACATAAATAGAGGTCACAGGGAGAGGGGGTGGCTGAGCAAGCGCTGCAGCCGGCCTACGTGACTGCCTGGTCCCAGCCTTTCCTCCTCAGTTTGCAGCCTCCTGTGCTGACACTGTTGATAGTGGCACCTTTGGTGACTGCAAGTGGGACCGCCTAGACACAAAAAAGCCTGAGGAAGCCTGTGCCTTGGCCCGGTGCTGGCCACCTACTTGGTGAGACGCCAGTTCTGCAAGTGTGAGTGAGTCCCGCTTTGGCAGCTGCCCAGAAAGCGTCAGATACTGTACAAGCCTTATCTGGCTGAGCTTCTGTCTCACAATGGGTGGTGTCACAGGCCCTGTGTTCTTGTGCCAAGCCAGCCTCAGAGCATTTGAGTAGGAAGCGAAAATAACAAGGCTCACAAAATGTTAGACATGGCATTCCCTAGGGATAGCCAGACCAACATGGGACTGAAGAGCTTTTCAAGATGCTGGGATTTCAATGCTAACATGGGGGAACATTCTGGGCACCTTGTAAACCAACCCAAGAACCTCTTCCTTTCCCATTTACTAAGACCAAGGAGACACAAGGCTAGGCAGCCTCCCGAGAGCCAAACAATTCAGTCAAGCCAAGGGAACAAGTGGGCAGGAGTTGGAAATAAGTATATAACCCACTGGATTTGGTCTCAAGCCTGCAGAGAAAAGCTGCATGAGAAGCAGGCAAACAGATTATGGCTGTATCTACTCTGGAACTTCACAGACACTGTGACCACCTCCAGCTCCCACATACTGAACTTCTGCAACTCCCCACACATCACGTTTACTGTCACCCAAGTCTGACACTTCTATTCTTCCCAGGATACCGCTGGAGGCCAAGGCAATGATCTCAACAAATATGGCAGCATACAGAAGAGCTTCGCAGACAAGAGCCTTGCAAAGCCTTCCAAGGAGAAGCTGCTGAAGGTGGAGAAGCTGAGAAAGGAGAGCATCAAGGGCAGAGCACCCCACCCCACAGCCAGGCCCCGTGCGCTGGCCCAGCAGCAGGCAGTGATCCGAGGCTTCACCTACTACAAGGCAGGCAGACAGGAGGCCAGACAGGAAGCACCCAAGGCCGTGGCTGGTGAGTAGAAGGGAGTGGGGCCTGGCTGAGGGATGGCTGCCCCCAGAGATCCACCTGCCTTCGAAAGCAGCCACAAAGCCACAGATCTCAGCACCATTGTTTACCTTTTAAGGATCCTTTGCTCAACCATACACTGGGTAGAAGAAGCCCAGGCAGGTTTGCTGATGAGGGAACAATAGAGGAAATACAAGAGACCTCCCATTCAGTACCTACATGCTCACCTTTTTTGGACTTTCTTTTGTTCAAAAATCTGGCTGCAGAGCCTGTTCCCACAGAGTTTACAGTCCAGTGGGAAGAGCCGCACCTGTGACGGTAGAGGTGGACGAACATGGCCAGGGAGCGAAATGGGCCCTTGGGGATTCCTCTCACTTCTGGACTGGCCTCTCTAGTTCTTCCATTTTTCATCTTCCTAAAAAGGAGCCCACAGACCTTTCACTTTTCCTGCCAACTTAGTCCCTCATATCTCTACCTGAGTCATAGCCAAGGGTAACAAGGGCTCTTCCAAGGGCAGGGAGGTGGAGCAGTTAGAGTCCAGTATTCTTCAAGAATTCCCTCCTGTCAGGTGCAATGGTGAAATCCTAGGCACTCAAGAGGTTGAGGCAGGAGTTCAATGCCAGCCTGAGCTACAAAGTAAGAGCTTGTCTCAAAAACAACAAAAAAGGCTACCCCAGGCTTGGTAGCACTGACTTGTGAAATGTAGCTAGCCAAAGCAAGAGTATTTATTGTTTAGGTATTGTTTAAGTTCAAGGTCTCCCTGGGACATAGAGTGATTTCAAGACTAAGCTAGGCAACTTACTGAGACCCTGTCTCAAAATATAAAGTAAAAAGTGGGCTAAGGATATAGCTTAGTGGTAGAGATAGTAGAATGCTTACCTAGAGCCAGGTGTGGTGGCACATGCCTGTAATCCCTGCACTCAGGGAGACAAAGGCAGGCAGATCAATGTGAGTTGATCAATGTAGACAACCTGGTCTACAAAGCGAGTCCAGGGCAGCCAAGGTTACACAGAGAAACCCTGTCTTGAAAAAAAAACAAACAAACCAAAAAACAAAACAAACAAACAAAATACAATGCTTACCTAGCATGCACAAGACCTTATGTAGGGGAACAGGAACTGTCTCTGACATGAACTCAGCAGCTGGTTCTTTGATCACCTCCCCCTGATGGGGGGAGCAGCCTTACCAGGCCACAGGGGAAGACAATGCAGCCAGTCCTGATGAGACCTGATAAGCTAGGGTCAGATAGAAGGGGAAGAGGACCTCCCCTATCAATGGACTTGGGGAGAGGCATGGGGGGAAATGAGGGAAGGAGGGTGGGATTGGGAGAGGATGAGGGAAGGGGCTACAGTGAAGATACAAAGTGAATAAAGTATAATTTATAAAAATATAAATAATTTTTTTTAAAAAGCCCTTACTTAGGTTAAATTTCCACCACAGGTACTTCTGGCATAGCTTAGTCAGTAGAGTACTGCCTCAAAAGTGTGAGGACCAGAATATGATACCCAAAAGCCACATTAAAGAAAACAAAACAAACAAACAAACAAAAACAGGGTATGGTAACACATTTGTTTTATTGTTTATTTTAGGTATTTATTTGTTCGTTTGTTGTTTTTCAAGCAGGGTTTTTCTGTGTAGCCCTGGCTGTCCTGGAACTAGCTCTACATTCAAGGCTGGCCTTGAACTCAGAGATCTGCCTGCCTCTGCCTCCTGAATGCTGGGATTAAAGGCAGGTACCACCACCACCTGGCTTTTTTTTTTTTCTTTTTTTTTTATGTTTAGTGATGTTCTGCCTACATGTATGTTTGTGTAGGTCTGTGTGAGGGCATCTGAGTGCCTGGAACTAGAGTTACAGAGAGTTGTGAGCTGCATGTAGGTGCTTAGAATTGAACCCAGGTCCTCTGGAAGGGCAGCCAGTGCTCAGCTATGCCATTTCTCCAGCCCTCTTCCCCTTTTAAATATTTTGTTTTATAAAGATTTCCTTATTTTATGTGCATTGGTGTTTTATGTGGTGTGTGTGTGTGTGTGTGTGTGTGTGTGTGTGTGTGTGTATTGTGCCAGATCTTCTGGTTCTAAAGTTACAGACAGTTGTGAGCTCCATGTGAGTATTGGGAATTGAACCCGAGTCCTTTGGAAGATCAGCCTTTGGAAGATCTTACCCGCTAAGCCATCTCTCCAACCTGGTAGCAGATGCTTGTAATCCCAGCATTAGGAAGGCAGAGGACAATATTAGGTATCATTCTCCTTTGAGACAACTAGAGTGGCTGCCTGGCTGGTGAGCCTGAGGGATCTTCTGGTCTCTGCCTTCCACACACATGCACACACATGTACGCCATACACAAACATGGGAACACACATACATTCATTTGAGAAAGAAAAAAAGACCACTGGAAAAGAAAAGGTCCCTTCATTTCTCAGCCCATTAGGATACAACCTTTCCCCTAGTCCCTGATGCCAGCTGCTGTCCTTGAGTCGTGCCAACTCAGGCTGCCCACAACACAGGGCCTCTGACTCCTGGCTGGGCCACTGCCCAGGCACAGCTTTGGGCATCTGACTCTGCCAAGGCGGCTCGTGGGAACAAGCCTCCTGCCCTAACAGGCTGCCAAGGCCATGTTCCCTGTGGATTCCCTGACCAAAGAGTCTTTGCTTGTTCCCACTGGGTCTTGGGTATGGGGTAAGAGTGGCCTGCACAACTGCGGGCAAAGACAACCCGAGCCAGCTAAGCTACTGCCAGCAATGGTGGGACCCGGAAGGTCCAAGACACAGCTAGAGAGGTAAGAATTGGATATGGGCAAGGGGCAGAGGTAGGGCCAAAGATCTGTGGCCTAGAAGTGACAAGACACTGGCTGCCTCCATCCCTTCCTTGCTTGAGGTATCAGACACTAGGTGAGAGAGGCTCAAGGCTGTCAAGGTCCTCAGGAAGATGACCAAGATAAAGTCTGCAGTCCTGAAGCAAGAAGTTTTGGCCCCTGGAACTATGTAGGGCAGGACAGAGTTGGAAAAAGTACTTAACTCTTAGGAGAAAAGAGAACTTCCTATTTGCTGCATCTATACAGATGTTTTATATACATTTACCACTAATCAACACTATGGTTATGACACTCACTTTACAGAGGTGGGAACACAAGAGAGTGAGGGCTCGTTAAAAACTCACCCAGTAAGGCTAGGCAGTGGTGACGAATGCCCTTTAATCCCAGCACTTGGAGGCAAGAGGCTTGTGAATCTCTGAGTTAAAGGCTAGCCTGGTCCACAGAACGAATTTCAGGACAGCCAGGGCTACACAGAGAAACCTGTTTCGGGGGGGAAAAACCCACAAAAGAACAAAACAAAACAAAACCTCACTCAGTAAAGGAGTGGTAGAGCTGGGCCCAAGGCCAGAGTGATCATCAGAAAGCATTACTCTGTTAACCAAGAAGCCTACCATCTTCTACTTGAGACCGTTCAACTCCTCCTTGGTCAGAGAAGCCAGGAGGTCTGTGGCAGACAGACACGTGTGTGTGTGTGTGTGTGTGTGTGTGTGTGTGTGTGTGTGTGTGTGTATCAACATTGCTGAGGCATGAGCACTGGGTAATCTTCTCTTTACAGATAACACCCTCAAGGGTACTTCCTGGCTGGAGAAGCTTCCACCCAAGACGGAGGCCAAGCTTCCAGAGCCTAACTTCACCAAACATGATGAAGTCAGGCTGGAGGCTTCAGAAGGAGCCAACTTGACCCCTGACAGCTTCACCACCACCACCGCCACCACCACCACCACCACTACCACCACCACCGCAACCACCACTACCCCAACCCCGATCACCACTCCCTGGCCCACTGAGCCACCTCTGCATCCAGAAGTCCCTAGTCGAGGTGAGTGATAGTCTCCTGAGCATCAGAAGACTTAGCTTATTACTAAATCCAATTCATGTCTTACTTGGTTCTTGATCTGAGAATGCTCAACTTTATCAAATTGTTGAAGGTTTTTATTTGTTTTGTTTTGTTTGTTTGTATTTGGTTTGTTATTTCAAGTTTTAGTCATTTTGAGGCAGGGTCTCACAGGAGCTCAGACTATTAGCATCCTTAGTTTTGGGATTATAGACATGTGTCAACCTGCTTGGCTTACTTTGAAGTGTTTATGTTTTAATTTTTTTTTAACATGTGTGTGTGTGTGAGAGAGAGAGAGAGAGAGACAGAAAGGGAGAGAGGGAGAGACAGAGAGACTGATTCTTTTTTTCTACCACTTCTCATATATTCCTTTTTGTTGTTGTTGTTTGTTTGTTTGTTTGTTTGTTTGTTTGAGACAGGGTCTCACTATTTAGCTCTGGCTGTCCTGGAACTCACTATGTAGACCAGGCTGGACTTGAACTCACTTGGGTCTGCCTCCCAGGTGCTGGGATTAAACGTATGTGCCACTATGCTCCGCTTCTCTTCCATTTCTGAGGAAAGGTCTCATTCTAAACCCGTGGCTTGTGTTTTCTTGGGTAGGCTGAAAGCCAGAAATCTTCAGGGACTCTCCAGTCTTTGAGTCTCTTAGAGCTGGGGTTACAGGTGTGTGGCAGATTGAAACACAAATCCTCCAGATTGCACAGCAAGCACTCCCAGCTGCTGAGCACTCCTTCCAGCTCGTGCTTTGCATTTCTTAAGAGTTGCTATAAAAAGAAAGACTATGGGAAAGAAGTTTGCCTTCTCACAGCCTAACGTAATTATCCCAGGATCCTTTACAGAAAATCTGCCAACATTTAAAGTGATTATTTAACACATACATATATGTATATGTAAACTACACCCCCAGCACTCTTTGACTGTTTTTATGTCCACATTTATAGCTGCAATTTGTGTCACACAGTAGACATTGTCCTCAGTAAATCACGTCCTTTGGGAGGGCTTATGACTGTGTGATTGCAAACCTCCAGACCCTTCCTCACTCTGGCCCAAGTGCTATCTCCCTCACACTTGTCTTTCTAGAATGATAAACAATGAGCACAACAGCTGCAACTAATGTGATTTCCTCCAAACACAGTTTCTGGTGTCAGAAAACTGGAAATAATCTACAGAGCTGACACAGGAAGGGGGAGGGTGTTGAATAAATTAAAGGGCACAGCTGTCTGGTGGCCTGGCAGGACCCAAAAATCACATCATTAAAAATGTATTTAATGATGTGAGAAATCAGTCAGTAGAAGGAGAAAACAGGACACATAAAACCATGTATTCAGAAGGATCACAGTTTCTTAAAATGTAAGTGAATGAAGCAAAGAAGAAAGGGAAGGAAGTGCCTCATATTCAAGAGTTTTTTGGTGGGGCTGGAGAGATGGCTAAGAGGTTAAGAGCACTGGTTGCTCTCCCAGAGGTCCTGAGTTCAATTCCCAGCAATCACATGGTGGCCCATGACCATCTATACTGGAATTGCATGCAGACAGAACACTGTATACATAATGAATAAATCTTAAAAAAAAAAATAAGTTTCTTTGTATGCTAGAATTTATCTTAGGACCTTGTTCCCTCCCTCCTTTCTTTTGTTCTTTCCTTACTTTTTGAGACAGGGTCTTGCTATATAGCTTGACTGGCCTGGCACTATATAGCTATATATATATATATATATATATATTTGAGGCTGGCCTCAAATTCATAGCAATGGCTATCCTCAGCATCCACAATTCAAGGATTACAGGCATTCACCCAGCTTCAATTTTTCAAGTATTTGGAAATTCTCTAAACTCATCCCTTCTGTAAAACTGTATTTTGAAGTTTTGGCCAGCATCTGCCAATTCCATTATTACCCATCATTCTACTCTCTGCTTCTCAGAGATGGATTTTTTTTTTTTTTAACATCTGATGGATGCTAGATTTTTGAATGGTAAGCATCTCCTCTGCTCCCCTTGCTGTCTGTTTATGTTTTTTTCAATGGTCAGGCATTGCTTTGCTCTTAGGCTAAAAGTCACCAAAAACTATCAAGAGAGATTTAAAATGGAATTGGATAATTCAGGTATAGTGCAGTATACTTTTAATCCCAGCACTCAGGAGGCAGAGGCAGGCAGATCTCTGAGTTCAAGGCCAACCTGGTCTACAAATCGAGTTCTAGGACAGGGAGGGTTACACAGAAACCCTGTCTTAAAACAAAACCAAGATGGTGTGGTGGTTTGAATAGGTGTGGCCCTCATAGACTCCTGTGTTTGAATGCTTGGCTCACAGGGAGTGGCACTATTAGGCGGTGTGGCCTTGTTAGAGGAAGTGTGTCACTGTGAAGGCAGGCTTTGAGGTTACACATGCTCAAGCTATGCTCAGTACGGTACACCGTCTCCTTCTGCTGCCTGAAGATTAAGATGTCGAACTCTTGCCTCCTCCAGCACCAAGTCTGCTTGCACACTGCCGTGCTTCTCCCCATGATGATAATGAACTAAATTTCTGAAATGTTTTCCTTTGTAAGAGTAGCTGGTCACTGGTGGCACATGTCTTTAATCCCAGCACTTGGCAGGCAGAGGCAGGCATATCTCTATGTGTTAAATGAGTTGCTGTGATCATGGTGTCTCTTCACAGTAATGAAACCCTAACTAAGACAGATGGACTTGAATCACCTTTCTAGACCCACTGTTCTGGCTTGGAGCTAGTGGCTCTGTGTAGCAAATGCTGTGCCCTTTGTTCCCCACAGGTAGGGAGGACAGCTGTGAGGGCACCCTCCGAGCTGTGGACCCTCCTGTCAAGCACCACAGTTATGGGCGCCATGAGGGCGCCTGGATGAAGGACCCTGCAGCTCCAGATGACAGGATCTACGTCACCAACTACTACTATGGAAACAGCCTGGTGGAGTTTCGAAACCTGGAAAATTTTAAACAAGGTCAGGGAAGTGGGGAGGGAGGAGGGAACGGTGTGGGTGGCATGGGGAGGGGCTCCCATAAGACTCAGCCTTCCTGTGCCTATGGTTTCCAATGTCTACCCTGTGCTAGTTCCAGGTAGCCACCTGTCTCAGGGAAGGGTGTCTAGGGGCTCAGAAAATCCTGTTATGCACTGCTGGGAACTGAATACAGGGAGAAAGGATAGATGTGGTCCTGTGTCATGAGTGTGACTTGCTGTCAAGGAGAGTAGTGAGCTTCCACTTGCTGAGTGTTCTGTGCCAATTACCTATGTGTGTCTTAGTTAGGGTTTCTATTGCTGCCATGAAACATCGTGACCAAGGTAAGGGTTTATTTGTTTTATATTTTCATATTCTGTTCATCATCTAAGGAAGTTAGGACAAGAACTCAAGCAGGGTAGGGACCTGAAGACAGGAACTGATGCAGAGGCCATGGAAGGATGCTGCTTACTGGCTTGCTCCCCATGGCTTGCTCAGTCTGCTTTCTTTCTCTCTCTCTTTTTTCTTTCTTTCTTTCTTTCTTTCTTTCTTTCTTTCTTTCTTTCTTTCTTTCTTTCTTTCTTCCTTTGTTTATCTTTGTTTGTTCATTTGCTTGTTTGTTTGTTGAGACAGGGTCTCTCTGTGTAGCCCTGCTGTCTTGGAACTTACTCTGCAAATCAGGCTGGCCTCAAACTCAAGAGATTCACCTGCCTCTGCTTCCCAAATGCTGGAATTAAAGATGTGCACCACCACTATCCAGCTGCTAACATCCTTTCTAAGCTCAAAATGGCATAGTCTGTCTGTAACAGCTCACAGATTGGTGAATGTGGCAAGTGTCAAGACAGAGGGTTAGGGGAGGCCCTTCACTACATCCTAAGGAGGTCACATTGGCTAAGGACACTGAAAGACAAGTAGGCATTCCCTATGCAGACTGAATGGGGAAAAGCAAACCTGACTCAAGGAACAGCATATAGAAAATCTCTGAGACAGAGCACAGAGCTGGCATCATCCTCCACCTCATTTCTAGGTACCAGTGTCACAACTTGGGGACCTGAAGCCCAGGACTCATAGATAATGTTAGTACTTGCTACATGGCATCATTTTTATGAACTAGATGATGGGCTCAGGTCCAGCCACATGGTTGAATTTTGGCACAAAGTACTTGTGGGGCACTGGTGAGCCTTTTTAGGCGAAGCTCTGGTTTGCTTTCTGCTGCTGTGATAAAGTCCACGACCCCAAGCAACTTGAGACTTCATACTTCCAGGTAACAGTCCGTCACTGGGGGAAGTCAGGACAGGAAATCAAGGCAGGAACACTGCGTACTGGCTTTCTCTCTCATTTGTTTAGAGAGCTCAACTAGCTTTCCTACGTGCTTGTCTTTTTTGTTTGCTTGCTTTTTTTGAGACAGAGTCTCACTATATAGCCCTGGCTGCACTGGAACGCACTTCGTAGGCTAGCCTCCAGCTCACAGAGATCCGTCTGCCTCTGCCTCCCAAGTGCTAGGATTGCATACACCACTCTACCCGGCCCAGCTAGCCTTCTTACACAGCCCTGGCCACATGCCTGGGCGTGATACCCCCCACAGTGGGCTGGGCCCTCCCATGTCCATCATCAAGCAAAACAGTCTCTCATAGCTGTGGCCACAGGCTGGGCAGTCCCTCTGGTTTGCATCAGACTAACCAGCACAGGGTATCTGACCATGACCCTCCTCCCCTCTCCCTATGCAGGCAGGTGGAGTAATATGTACAAGCTGCCCTACAACTGGATAGGCACAGGCCACGTTGTATACCAGGGGGCCTTCTACTACAACCGCGCCTTCACCAAGAATATCATCAAGTATGACCTGCGCCAACGCTTTGTGGCCTCCTGGGCCCTGCTGCCTGATGTGGTCTATGAGGACACCACGCCCTGGAAGTGGCGTGGCCACTCGGACATTGATTTTGCCGTGGACGAGAGCGGTCTGTGGGTCATCTACCCAGCTGTGGATGAGCAGGATGAAACCCAGCACGAGGTGATTGTGCTGAGCCGCCTGGACCCTGGAGACCTCTCTGTGCGCCGTGAGACCACGTGGAAGACACGGCTGCGGAGGAACTCCTACGGGAACTGCTTCCTGGTGTGCGGCATTCTGTACACCGTGGACACTTACAACCAGCAGGAAGGCCAGGTGGCCTATGCCTTCGACACCCACACAGGCACTGACGCCCACCCGCAGTTGCCCTTCCTCAATGAATACTCCTACACCACCCAGGTTGACTACAACCCCAAGGAGCGGGTGCTCTACGCCTGGGACAATGGCCACCAGCTCACCTACACCCTCCAGTTTGTGGTCTGAGTGTTCACAAGGGAGAGCAGCAGAGGAGGGGCTGTCCCTAGCAACTCCTGTAACTGATATAAGTGTCAGTAGCTGGGGTGTCCTAGGCTAGGTGTTGGTATTGATGGCAGCCGGGACAGTACTTTCTCAGTGCCCAGCAGGTGACGCTCACTTCCGCTGCAGAATGCTGTGCTGTGGACTTTTCCTCCACTTACCCTTTTGACTCTTTCCACTGCTTCCTTTGGAAGCAGAGGTTCCTTAAGTCCACTGGGCAGATGAGGTGACTGTAGCCCAAAGGAGCGGCAGCCCAGCTGGAGCAGGTCAGGCTGTGTTCTCCCAATAGCCACATTTTACAGATGAAATGACCTCACCAAGTTCTTCCCACCCCCAGTTCCCTTCCCAGGGCTCCGCGAAGTTTAAGGTCTTTGGGAGCTCTGCCCTGGTATTCGGCAGCTCCAGGCCCCTCTTCTGGTTGAATGCTGGTAACCTTGAGCTTAGGGCCTCTTGATCTATGGTCAGCCCCTGTGTTCCCATGCTCTTGTCTGTCCACATTCCAGAAGCTCACCATCACAGCCACTAAGCAGTAACCACACCCTGAAGCAAACACTGGCTGGGTCCATGGCCCTCCCTCTGTGGCTACTTCTTGTTCCCCTGTTTCTTACACATTTCTTAACAGCTGAGAAGGTATAGGCAGCTCAGCTCTGGCAGGGTGGGGTGCTAGCCTGAGCTCCCCCCACCTCAACTTCTGAACCAGAAGCCCTCGCCCTTGGCCATCCACCAGGCCCTGGCTCCTTCCTTAGTACTTCCCAAAGCCTTGGGCCTTGGGGTTCTTTCTGGGCCTTTAAAGCCAGTCTGTTCACACTCAGGGATTGCAAAGAGTAAGGTCCTTGCCCCTGGAGAGGGTGGCACCAAGATGGAACAGGCTCCCTCTTCTTTGCCCATCCTGACCTGGTCACTCGGTGGGCTGATTCGGCAGCCTGGGACTCTGAGGTAGACAAGACAGAGGGGTTCAGGAGAGGCTTTAGGCCTTCTCAGTTTGCAGGACAAAGACAGGATGTAGAAGCAGGGAAGAACAGCCTAGGGTCTTGCCAGCAGGATTTTCTTTAATATAGGACTTGTGATTGTGGACTTACAAGTGAGCATGTATAAACTACCCTAAAATGGGATTCGGCAGCTTCCCTGGTGCTGCTTGTGGTTCCCAGAGCCCCCAAGACCCAGACAGCCCCGAGAACAAGACCTTTCAAGCCAGCCTGTGTCTGCTTTGGACATTGTTTCTAAAGCTGCAGGAAAGGTTTTGTTGTGTTGTTATTGTTTGTCCATCTCCCTGTTTCTCCAAAGAAAGTCCAGATCCCAGCAGTTCTAGGGTATGGAGGAAAAGCCCTAAACCGGGATAGCTCTGCCTGCAAAGAGCCCCAGCACATTTGAGGATGTCTACCACTGACCCCTAACCTGGACCCTGGGCCCTTCCTTGTGCCCTGTGCCCGCCTACTCCTAGGCTACCTGCCGTGGAATACCAGTGCCTTGCTGTGGAATCGCACTATGCAGTGTGAGATGGGGAGATTTAGGTTCTGTGCAGGCTTCATTTCTTCCAGACATTGTCGGGTGATGTTTTGCTTAAGGAATAACGCACTCCTGAAATAGAGAGGGACAGTGACACTCAGCCCAGCCAGGTCTGAGCTGACTCACAGTGGTAGCCAGGTCCAGCTTCCCCCACCCAGCTGACCACCATGGGCTCCTTTTCCAGCCTCTTCACAAAACTTGGAGGCCCCGGCCTTTCCCTTGGCCCTGGGTGTGGGTCTTTTTAAGGCTGTGTGTTTTGTGATGTCATAGCCCAACCATGTGAGAGGTGCTCAGGCAACTCTGCGGCAGCCTGAGAAGAGGGAACATTAGGACACATCGGTTTTGAAAAGTAAACACGTGGCATAGTTTCCTGGGGTGGGACACAGGGCCTGCCATAGTCCCCAGTCACTCTCCATGTCCCTTCTGTCTTCAGTCCTTTGTGTGTTGTGTGGTAAATATGGTTCATTTCCTCATTTCTAGATGGTCACACTGTATCCCAAGTAAGTCATTTGTCACATAGGCTGGTAGTGGAAGAGCCATGTTTCCAAGTCAGGTAACCTGTCATGTTATCTGAGAACCATCAGTGTGCTGGACATACTGTGGAAAGACTACAAAAGGGCCCGTTAACAGATGAGGCCAATGACATGAGGAATTTACCCAAGATCACACAGCAGTATGGTCAGTGCCAAGGCTAGGTGTTCAAGGCTGCTCAGAGTATGTTTTCTGTCATGCTGGTAGCAAGTTCCAAAAGTGCTGGTAGTTGTAGTCATTCAAGAAGAGCCCCCTCCAAAAGGCTGGCTTCTACAGAAGCTTTGAAGCCCAGCCAAGGAGTGGACACATGTAGCCTTGTCTAGAACAAAGCTGTAAAAACCACCAGAGCCAAGGAAATTCTGACATAGTTTCTAATTGGATTTTGTCCCGTCGGTGATGAAAAGCAGGGAAGAGGTTTTTGTCGAGGAGCCTGAATTTGCCAATTTGTGAGCTCTGAAGGAAACCTGGCTCCTACCACCACACACACAAACACACACTCTCCCAGGCACCTTCCCACACTTCCACACCCCCACATATATACATTCACACACATACCCTTACATGCCACACATACACATGTGTGCACTCACACATACTTTGGGTTGTGTTATGCTGAGCAACAGGTACTCTTTAGGATGAGGGGCCTAGACTGCATAGAAATGACCACTGACCTTTTTATAAAGACAAAACATCTTGTGTCTCTGGATAACTCTATAGGTGAAGGGGCTTTGGCTTCCTTCATTGATTCCTCTCCAGAGACTGCCAGGCCTTGAGTGGGGATGGGGGTGCTAGGCAAGCGCTGGATCACTGAGTCACCCCAGCTTCTCAGTTCTTGAATCTAATCTGCTTTCCTGGGTGAAAAGAAGGGGAATGCTACCTTGGGGCAGCACAAAAGATGGGGAAACTGGGGCCTCCTGTGGTGCAGTGGACGGCACTGTGTGTCAGAGTTCTGGGTACAGGGGAACTGGGAGCCCTTGTTAGTATCCAGCCTGCCTCTTCCGTGCTGCCCTGCCCTCTCAGGCTGGGTGGGGGTGTTAGCTCCCTCCTAGAGCTGGGACCAAGGCTTAATGAGGACAGGGGACTTCAGGAGACCCCCAGTACTAGCCAGAATCAGAAGTCGCCTTGACCTGCAGTCTCTCTAATCTACCCTGGAACCCCCAAGACTGCCAGTATTTTTTCTCATTATAGATTATGAACCTCAAGTTCAGAGAAGTTGAGCCGTCTGCTCAGGGTCAGGTATCTAGCATATAGAGGTGAGATCCAAACTAGGTCTCTTTAAACCAAAGCCCCAACTGTTGTAAGTAGTCATGTTTTTTTCTTGGTTTAGACCAATAGGAAGTTCAAAGACAGGCTCGAGATCATTTTAAATACTTGTATGGAGTTTAACCAGCTTCATTGTAGCTTTTTGCATGCACCTTTACCCTGATTTATTTTTACTCTACTGTATTTTATCTATTCTTATAAGGTGCCACAAGATCTTTTTGTAACAGGGTGGCATATACATACATAAAACCCATCATTACAGCTGGATATGATGGCATACATCTTTGGTTCCTGCATTTGAGAGGGAGAGGCAGGCAAATTTCTGAGTTTGAGGACAGCCTGGTCTACAAAGCAAGTTCCAGGACAGCCAGAGCTACACAGAGAGACTTTGTCTCAAAAATAAAAAAAAAAAATAAATGAAAGCTTGATTCAAAAATCTAGAGTACTGTGGACTACAACTGGGAATATAGCTCCATGGCAGAGTACTTACTTAGCATGTCTGAGGGTCTGGGTTTGATTCCCGGCATCAAACATAAATAAATAAACAAATAGTTTCTGGGTCTGTATCCTTATCATTTCACATATATTTAATAACTTTTGTTTGGTCGTTTTTTGTTTAAGACAGGCTTTCTCTGTGTAGCCTTTGCTGTCCTGGATCTACCCTTTGTAGACCAGGATGGCCTCAAACTCCCATCAGCCTACCCACCTGCCTCTGCCTCCTGAAGCCATCACCGCCCAGCTTTAATAACTTCTTTTTGACCCGGGCTTGTCTCAAACTTTGTAGGACTCAAAGGATGGCTTTGAATCCCTGATTCTCCTGCCTTTGTCTCTCCAGTGGATTGCAGGGCATGAGCCACTGTGTCCCGCTGTGCATTTGTCCTAGTTAGGTTTATGCTGGTGTGATAAAAACATGATCAAACACAACTTGTAGAAGAGCAGGTTTATCTCATCTGACATGTCCAGGTAACAGTTTATCACTGAGGAAATCAGAGAAATACTCAAAGAAAGAAACTGGAAGAGGGAATCGTGGAGGAATACTTAGTGGCTTGTTCAGCTTCTGTCTTAAACAGGCCAGGGATGGCTCTGCCTACAGTGGCCTCCTCCTTCCTTCATATTCATTAATCAGGAAAATCTTCCTGGAGAGCCACACACAAGATCACAGACAATTGCATTGCTAAGCCCAGTTTTGTGTTTGTGGGTTCTGAGATCCAAACTCCAGGGTAGAAGCTTCTTCCCAGACCCCTGCTTCTCTGTTTCTTACAAATGCTTCCATTCCTTTTATGGAAATACATTTATTTCCAAAATAAGCTTTTGTAAGCCAAGCAAAACAATTGTTTTTAATTTTTAAGGAAAAAAAAAACAACTTAATTTTGTAGTAGTAAAAAGCAAGCTGGTATCAATGATCACAAATAGACAGCGGCTGTAAGCCACTTGGATTCTGGGAAGTGCTGCAGCTTTCTAGCTTGTGGCCTATGGGCAGATCAACCTCCTGCCCTGTGTTTAAAAAGAAGGTAATGAGGGGGGCTCTGAGTGATGGCACACTTGATTAACATTCTCTGGATCCTGGCTCCACCCCTAGCACTGCAAAGAAAAACAGAGCAAAGGGACTAGCGAAAGTGTTCAGCCGGTAGACGTGGATACGTACCGGATACATGGAGTACTTAACTGATTCCTTGCCCTACCCCACCCCTGCCATCCACAGTCAACCCCCTTTTTATAAACAATTTTATGTGCGTGTGTATTTTCCCTGCATGCATGCATGTGCACCGTGTGCGTGCCAGGTGCCCCTGGAGGACAGAAGTGGACAACAGATTTCCCTGGAGCTGGAATCACAGACAGTTGTAAGCTGACACGTGGGGGTTGTGAACTGAACCCGGTCCCTGTGGAAGAGCTGCCCATGCTTTGAACCACTGAGCCATCTCTCCAGCTCCTACACAGACAACCTTGGATATGCTCAGCTGCTCATTGCTCTGTGCAGCTGTGGAGAGCCCTTATCACATCAGGAAGCCATGCCCTGTCCCTCAAGTTCTGGGGTTTCTGGGGCTACACAGGGCTGACCTATGGTCTTGGTCTAACCTGGACTGCAGAGCCTTGGGCCTGTCACCATCCTCACTGCCTCTTTTTCTGTGGCCCAAGATTGTGACCAGCAAAGCCTTTCCATCAACTCACACCAATACCTACTGTGTAGGTTTGAATAAGAATGGCCTTTATTTTGGTTGGAGAGACGGCTCAGAGGTTAAGAGTACTGCCTGCTCTTCCAGTGGTGACTTGGCTCCAAGGTCATGGCAGAATGGGAGCCATGAGTAGTAGAGCAAGTTCAAGGCAGTTTCCCAGAGCCCTAGTGATGTGCCCACTCCAAGGCCCTCAGGATTCTAGGAACTCAGACCTGTTGACCAGCAGGGTAGAGAGCAGAGCCCTCAGACAGGTAGGAGGGCATGTAAGTAGGTAGAGCCTGCCCTCCACAGGATTCTTGATGGAATCTTGGCCTCATTGATGGACCTGTCCTGGGCCACTGTGTTTTTCTGAGAGCATGTCCCTCACTGGTCCATCTCTACTTCCTCACTAAGAGCTGCATTTCCCCATGCCCAAAGGAGAAGGATTATCAGCAGAAGCTGGCAAAGGAGTGGGGAGCTCTCAGGGAGCAACTGCAGGTGAGGGCCTGTGCAGTGTCCCCATGTCCTCTGGAGAGCGTTTCTCTCTCAGCACTTTTGGGCTTTTCTCCAACGGTTCACATTCAGACTATAAGCATCCTGGTGTCTAAGAACACAGAGTTATGGACAGCTCTGGCCCTCACCCAGCAAGCAGCCAGGCAGAAAGCAGGTAGAACCAAGCACCATTTAGCTTTGAACTGATGCCTTGGGAGGCCTGAGGGAGGATCCCCGGGCCTCCATCTAGGAGCCCCATCTCATTCTCAGAGAGTTGGAGGAGTTTGCCAGGCAATGATAATGTACAGAAGACCTGGATCAGTGTCCACACACAGCAGAAACAGGTGGACAAGGTGAAACCAGTTGCATTTTGGCTATGATTAGCCCAACTCCCTGATGGGGAGTGAGGCTAAAGGGCTTTTCTAAAGGATGAGTGTCTTGCTGCTGAGAATCTAACAGGAGCCCACACCTGATTGCTTTCCTTATGTAGTTGGGGATGGCCCAGCTGCCTGACACCGGGAATGGTATACAGACCCAGCAAACAAAACGTAACCAAACTTTTCCTGATTTAATCAAGAGTACTGCTTGGGGGTGAGTAAGAGATTAAATACTTTGGGTTTAAGGGTTGGCCAAAGAAGATAGTTCCTTAGTAGCCAAAGGAGTGGCCAGCATCGAAGAGAAAGATTCCTTGGTTGAGGAATTGTGTGTGGGACTAAAGATGGGCAGAGCTGGCTGAGGAGGGAAATCTTCAAGCAGGAGGTGGCTGGAGTAAGAGAGCAATCATGTGTGGTAGAAATGAACTGATCCATCAGAGCAGCTCAGATGCAGGAAGATGCTGAGGGGACTGAAATGAGTGGGTAGGTGTTCCGATGGAGATCGTGGGGTGGAGCAGACATATTCAGCAGAGACTGAAAACCCTCACCCCAGCAAGTCCTGACTCTGTCTGGGGGAGAAACCAAACAGAGGGTGGATGAGGGTCCAGCCACTGAGGAGGTGCAGAAGTGCCGGGGACGAGGAGCCATGGGATGGGGAAGTGGGAGGAGAGCCAGCTCAGAGTGTGAGCTAGAGGAGTGTCCAAACCCCAGAAATATCACACTGAGGTCAGAAGGAGGAGGATCAATCCCCCTTGCCTCAGCCCTGTATGTTCTGGTGCATGTAGCCCTTCACTCCCACCTTCACCCCCAAAGGGGGTCACAGTAGCCTGGTAGCCAGGTTAAACTTCCTCACCCTTTATAAAGTCATGTCCAGAAGCCCCTGGAATTTCTCCTTGTGCAAATGACATACCCAGTGCCCTGGCCCTGGCCAATGTTGTAACCTGTTTAAATTCTATAGTCCCTCTGTTGAGACCTACTTTAGTTCTTGGCATAACTGTAGCTCCTCTGTTAACACCTGCTGTCACCTTTAGCATACCAGAAGCCATTTTGCCTCCAACTCTCTATTTTGACTATAAGGTGAAATTAAGTTCAAGTTCTCAGACCCTACATACCTGAGACCAGGTTACAATTCAATAGTTCAGTACTTGCTGCTTAGAACAAAACAATAGATGATAAATGCATGTTCTCCTAGAGTTAAACATTGTAACATCCTGCTATGCCCCTTACTCCCGGAAAGCTGGAAAGCCCCCAAGAGCTCCCCATCCTAAATCCCAGCCAATCAATTTAAAGTGCTTTGTCTAGCCACCTAGATACAACAAAATAGACTTGGAACTAGACACCAGCCCGCTAACCTCTGCCTGTCCATGCCTCCACCTTCTCACAGGGAAGAGCCACTCCCTTCTACATCCAGCATGTGAGATCTCACAGTCCTCTGCCAGGGTCCACATCTGAGGGAAACACCCTCGCTGGTTAAACTGCCTCTATAGGAGCATTCACAACCTCTGTCAAGCAAGCGGATCGGTTTCACACATGCACGCACACAAATATGAAGGGCCTTCAGCCCATTTCCTCCACGGCCCCCTTGCTCAGCTTCAGAGGATAATATAAAAACATGCTCCTCTTGTACATCCCTCATTGCTACCCCAGCTTTTCAAACTATGGACACTAACCCTGAAGGTCTCAAACCCAATGTCCTCTGGCAAATTGATGTCACCCACATTCCCCAATTCTGCTGCCAAAAAGTATGTCATTGCTAGGTTGCCGCAAACTGACATTTCATATGGGCTACTGCCCAACTGGGAGAAAGCTCAAAAAGATTAATTCACCACATGCTCTCCGCCTTGTCATCACGGGCCTTCCTCAACAGATGAAAACTGATAATTGCCCTGCTTTTTATTAGCTCCCTATTCAAAACCTTCTGCTCACAATGCAAGATTGCTGATCATGCAAGGAGTTTTTACAATCCCCAGAGCCAAGAAATCAAAAACAAAAACAAAAAAACCCACATCAAACTCTAAAAGCCCAACTTAAAAACTAAAAAACAATTGCCTACCTCCTAACATAAAATTAGCAATGGCCCTAGCCACTCTAAAAATATTTAATATTTACAAAGGCTCAAAACATCCTCCTATCTCCCTCCACTGGCACATACCAGAAGTAACTCCTCCCATCCCAGTACCATCTCGTAATCCCTTAGACAGAATATGGAAGAGACCCAACCCTCTCCTCACAACAGGAAGAGGTTTTGTTCCTGTCTTTCCACAGGACCTGCCCAGGCCAATTTGGGTTCCAGCCAGAAATGTCTGATATCACCCCACCAACCAAGAAGATGGCCTGTCTCTTGCTGATGGGTCAAGGACTGAGGAATCGAAGGAGATACCACCCTCAATAGGGCAAAAAGATCTCCTAGAAGGACATCCATGATCTGATGGCTGCTGCCCAGGCCTGTCTTATGGCTGTCTTTGTTATTCTTTGTTCTAACTCTGCCCAGCCCCACCTTAATCCTTCCAATACCCACCACTGGAGAATTTTGTT